GATAGAGCCGGATCGTCTGCTTGCCCTGGTGTTAACATGAGACTTTTACAGGAATCAGACTCAGCTCTGAGGATGTCCAGCATTGTGGGGACTACTAGTCCTTCATCCCCTTAAGCCAGTGATTCAGAAAAATTTTCCTAGTCGCGGCGCCCTTTTTCAAGTAAAACTTTTCCATGGCACCCTACCCTAAGTATGACTATTCGTAAGTAAGAGATAAAAATAAATAAAACTCGTGTTTCTTCATTATTTTTTCACTTTATTAACATAAAATTAATGTTTACTAATTAATGTGATGGATGAGCCTGTAAATCACTTCACATTTTCTCAAATTAAAGCTTTTACAATATTTCGCGGCGCACAGTTTGCGAATTATTGCCTTAAACGAAATAGAGTAAATACATCTCATAGAAGCAGAATAGTCTTAAACGAGCAAGTATAGGAGTGAAGACCAAGGCGGTTTTGTTCTCATTTCAGGCAATCAAGGGGGAAAATGAAAAATGAAATATGTAGAAAAACCGGTTTTTGAAAAATCCCTTGATACCTTGGTGATAGGGTAGTTTTGTTTCGTTTGAAGAGGCGAGTGGAAGGGATTAGCAAGTTGGTCTTACCGGAAGTCAAGGAAGAATTTTCTTGAATCTGTGAGTGTAGATTTATTCAAATAGATTCTCGACTCACCGTCCTGAGACGAGAATTAACCTTACTCCTCGGATTATGCAGGAGTGATCCAACTTCGTTTTGGCAACTCGGCCGAAATGTCAAGACGACCCCGCAAAATGTACTTGATCCAGCGCCCTCTGCTGTAAAAATCATAAGGATTTGATGAAATTCCAGACTTTTCGCCAGCATCCTGGTTGGCGATTGCCGTAGGGTAAACGAGGTCACAGAACTTCAACAAAGGGGAAGAAGATCGCCACCGGTCTGGTGTCGTTTAACCTTTGCCTCATCTTGTCTCTTCGCCTAAAGCGAACTTTCGCTTTTTAGCCTGGTTGCTTCATGTCGCTCAAATATGATTGTGTTCACCAAAGTTGTGGAAACTTACATTCCCTAAGAAAGTGGGCCTG